CAAAAAACCTAGTTTCATCTAGCGTAGGCATACACAATGAGTCATGTAACTCATTTGCAGGAAAGGCAGGGGTACAGTGGGATATGAGGTACAACGAACTCCAGTGCTGCTGGCACTCACTCCTTAGCTTTCTCCTCTGCCTGTCTTGCATGCGTGCGAGCTGTATTCTCATTTATTGCAGGCTTCTTCCAGGGGGCAGGGAACTTGACCCCTGATACTTCCAGAGTCTCTCTCTTCACAGTATTCGCAGCAGGAACCAAGCCTTGTTTTCTGTTTGATCGTAAGTGCAAAACTCTCAGGGAAGGATGTAATTGGCTCAGCTTGGGTCAGGTGGCGTTAGGACCGCTAATAAAATGTCAGTTTCAATCATTGTTTTTTGTTTTGTTTTGTTTTTTGAGATTTTGTTTTGTTTTGTTTTGTTTTCTGTCACCCAGGCTGGAGTATAGTGGCACAATCTCAGCTTACTGCAACTTCAGTCTCTGGGGTTCAAGTGATTCTCAGGCTTCAGTCTCCTGTGTACCTGGGATTACAGGCATGCCCAGTGATTTTTTTTTTTTTTTTTGTATTTTTATTTATTTATTTATTTATTGAGACAGAGTCTCACTCTATCACCCAGCCTGGAGTACAGTGGCTCAATCTCAGCTCACTGTAACCTTCATCACCTGGTTTCAAGCGATTCTCCTGCCTCAGCCTCCCGAGTAGCTGGGACTACAGGCGCACACCACCGTGCCGGCTAAGTTTTGTATTTTTAGTAGAGACATGGTTTTACCATGTTGTCCAGGCTGGTCTTGAACTCCTGACCTCGAGTGATCCGACGGCCTCGGCCTCCCAAAGTGCTGGGATTACACGCATGAGCCACCAGGCCTGGCCCAGCTTCCATCTTAACAGTGAGAAAAAAGGACATCCCAAAGAACTGGGTTCGGGCATGGGGAAAATGGCTGCTGTTCTAGCCAAGGCAAAACGGTAGATATTCACAACAGGGAGTCATGAAGTCTGCATTTGGGGGAGGTGCAGGAAATGGTGAGGAAGATTTGGAAAACTCAAGGTGGAGTCATCGAGAGGCAGAGGAACACATTCTGTTAAACAGCTAAGCGAGAGACAGTGCTGACTGCATTTTCCTCAAGTGAGAGATGGGGTAGGGACAGCGTCCACAGTGATGTAAGCCCTGTAGAGACTGACCTGCTATGGGGAGGACAGGAGGCTGAGGAGAGCCAGGCTAGACCTAAAGAACAGGAACCTGTAAAGTCAAGAGTACGGCTGCGAGAAGAGGGAAACAGGACTGCTCAGAGCTGAGCAGAACATGCAGACTATGAACTTCTGATGCCAGAGGCAGTGTCCTCCTTCTTGCCCCAGCGGGGCCAACTCCATTTTCCCACATCTAGTGGTTATTTTTATGGATAGATTTATTTTTACCCGTTCTAGACCTCAAACCTGCCACTGCAAGAAGCGAAGCACTGAGGCTTCTAACTTTCCAGAAAACACAGGCCTTAGTGGTCAGCTCAGTGACAGAGACCAGGCTACGGTCCACTCGGCTCCTCTGGGGTCACATTGTCCTCTGGGGACAACATACCTCCCTCGTGTCTGCAGCGGAGCTGGGGTGGGAATGGAGTGGGAAGGGGATTCCTTTTTTCTCATCCCACAACCCCACAGTCGGTCAAGGGGAGGACCTGCAGCCACCCTGAAAGTCATCATCCTGGCCTGCCCTGAATCCTCGCCAGCCAGAGGTGGGATAGCCATCAGAGCCTCTTTTGACAGCACCTCCCAGGCAGAGCCTGTCTCGCTGGAATCCAGGGAGCTTGAGGGGAAGATCTTACCTTTCCAATAATAACCAGCTATGAAAGGGTATCATTTCCCAGTCCCCACAAAACAGGCAGCCAAAGCAGACTTCTTCTTTAATGGGACCATACATCTGGCCTAAATTGTTATTCCCCCAAGACAAGTTTACTGAACAGTTAGGCAATGCCTCCATACACAGCCACTGCAGACGAGCTTAAAATATACTTTAATACGTTTAAAGAGTCATTTCAGAGACTGGCTTACTTATGATAAAGATGCAACTGACACTCATTGGTGCTAAAATGTCATGTTGGTGCCATCCAGCAGGGAGCCTGACAAGCCGTTAAATCTGCAGCTCTTTTCGGCTGATTCATTTCTTTTCCTTTCTTTCTCATGTCTTCCCCAACAACTGATTTGGGCTCCTGAAGCTGACATTTTGCTAGGGTCTACCCAAATCTAACAAAGGTGCTGTGCATTGGGGGGTGTGTCCGTAGTCCCAGTTTCCAGGAAGGCTGAGGTGAGAGGATCACTTGAGGTCATGAGTTTAAGACCAACTTGGGCAACACAGGGAGACCTATAATGAAAAAAAGAAAGAAGGAAGGAAGGAAGGAAGGAAGGAAGGAAGGAAGGAAGGAAGGAA